AAGGGAATCTTCTTGGGAACCTACAGAATTACTTCCTGTCTTTGGAGGTCCTCAAATATAGACTGAGCACTATTTTGTTTTTCTTTTCAGGTAACAACAAAACTCGATAAAAAAAACAACAACTCACCTTTCTCTATAGGAAAATATCCTGTTTGAATAGCCTCCATTTCTGAGACACTTGCCCTAAGCCAATGGAGGAACTGAGTTTTTCAGGACTATGAACTATAGGTAATATTCACATGCTAGGGATCATTTCAAATGGAAGAGCAGCTTGGAATATACTGGCTTTCATCTTAGAGTCACTGTTCTTTGCACAGAAAAACCAAGTGAACCATTAAATTTGGTATGTTGCTTTCCTGGTCCAGTAGAAAAAGCACTTGACATTTTTAACTGCTAGATACCCAAAGTTGTAAGCACAGTGGCACATATTTGCTTTTTGAAGTTAATTAAATCATTTTGTGTCTGGGCCTCCTTGTCTTTGATTCATGGTAATGACAGCTTGGAGACATACTCACAATTTTCAGAGGATTAAATGAGATGATGTGACACGAAACACTATGCAACATTAGATTTAGAAATGTTACTTAAATTCTGAATTATTTGCATTACACAGAAATTAACTTAAACTTAACCAAATATAGAAAACAAAGATAACAGCCCAAAACCTAGCAATAATGTCCCTGCAATATAAGGACTGTCTAGTCTCCACTTCAATGGATGTGCACCTGTCCAAGATGAGCCTGATGAAATGTTTCCAAAGATGAAGACTTGATGGAGGGATGGTGGGGACAAAAGTGGGAAAAGAGAGTTGTTTTTTTAGTCGCTAAGTTGTGTCTAAGTCTTTTGCAACCCCATGTATTGTAACCCACCAGGCTCCTCTGTTCATATGATTTCCCAGGCAAGAATACTGGAGTGGGTTGCTGTGCTTTCCCTTCCAGGGGACTGTCCTGACCCTGAGATCAAATCTGTGTCTTTTCCACTGGCAGGCAGATTCTTTACCACTGAGCTACTCGGGAAACCCAGAAAAATGGAGACCCCCCCACCTGCCCCAGTGAAAAAGCTAACTAACAGGAAGTTCATTCTTATAACCACTCTCCTCTTTAAAGCAGGAGTTCTTGACTAGGGGTTTTAACTTCAAGTCTCTGGGCTCATTTAGATAGATTCATGAGTTCTATGAATTTGAATGGGAAAGAAATTATATCTCTATTTTCATTAGCCTTTAACAGACAATAAATATTGTAAAGACAAGTGATCAAGAAAACACAAACCTTTTTACATGATATTATAACTACTGCAGATACTTTAAAATATCATTTGCACTCATCACCACTTTGACTATAAGGCAGTTATTAGATCTGCCATTAGATCTTATACTTCAAAATCAAGAAACACATTTTACCATAGCACAAATTTATTTAATGTTTTAATAACTCAGTGTCCATAAACTTGGCTTCCTTTATAACCCTAAGCACTTTATGTTATGCATTTTAAAACATTATTTTGACACTGTGGTTACCCAAAAATTCCACTCCTAGGTATATACCCCAAAAAACTGAAAATAGGAACTCAAACAAATATTGGGCCTTCTCAGGTGGCACTAGTGGTAAAGAACCCCCCTGCCAATGCAGAAAGTATAAGAGACATAGGTTTGATCCCTGGGTTGGAAAGATCCCCTGGAGGAGGGCATGGCAACCCACTCAAGTATTCTTGCCTGGAGAATCCCATGGACAGAGGAGCCTAATGGGCTACAGTCCATAGAGATGCTAGGAGGTGGACATGACTGAAGCAACAGAGCATGCATGCAAACAAATATTTGGTACAAGGGTGTAGTAGCCAAAAAAAAAAAAAAAAAAA